ATCGGCGAAAAGTGAACAGACAGGTATGGCTTCTTTTGGGATATAACTGAATTGTATTCTTTTAATGTCCTTGTTGCATCTTAGGTTGGCCGCTAAGGCTTCGATTACAAATACAAACAGTAGAGGGGCAATCGGATCTCCTTGTCTCACTGAACGTTCAAGTGAGATTGGTGGTGCTAGGTTTCCATTTATCATCACCCTGGTGGAGGCGTCTGTATGCAGAATCTTTATCCACCTCCTAAATCCTAGACCGAAGTTCAACTTTTTCAAACATTTGTCCAGAAACATTCAATCCACATGATCATAGGCTTTCTCAAAATCTATGAAGATAAAGGCAACATTGTGTTTGGATTGTCTTGATAGTTTAATTAATTCATTTACCAGTAGTATGTTGTCCTGAATGTTCCTCCCCTCAATAAATCATGTTTGAGTAGGGTGGATGATTTCAGTTGTTATTTTCAGCAAACGATTCGCTAACGTCTTTGCTGCCAGTTTATATACCACTGTAAGTAGGGTTATAGGTCTGTAATTGCGAATATTTGTCTTGTCTCTTTTTTTGTACAACAACGCCAGTACTCCTTGGTTCACTAATTCCCCCATTCTTCATGAGATCCATACTTCGTGGTAGAAGTCCATGAGGTCTTGGGCGAAAAAATCCCACATTATTTCCCATAATTTTTTTGGTAATCCGTCTATTCTTGGAGTTTTTTCCTCCTCCATCATCATGAGGGCTTTCCAGATTTCTTCTTTTGCTAGTGGTTGATCTAACAGGGAACTCTGGTACTATGTTATTTTTTTATTCAGGGGTTGAAGAAAGTTATCAATCTCTTTCATTCTTTGTTCTTGGGGTAAGTGCTTACATTCTGACATAAACAAGTTTTGATAGAAATCTCTCGCTATTTTTGTACGTTCTGCTGTCGATGTTACCAGGGAATGTTGATCCCTTTGGGGGTCAGAAAGGGTTTCGGATTAGGTCCTTTTGTTCCCTCCAAAAGGACCAAACATCTTGAAGAGATACTTTAAATCGATCGATCTTTAGTAGAGAAGTATTCAATTTGTAAAATCCTCTGCCTTGATCCGGTTTCTTCCTGAATGATAATAGTATCGCATTCATTGAGTGATCAAGTCCTGGAAAGACGCTTTGTGGGAAAATGTCTGCTATTTGAAGAGCACCTTCCAGCTCATTCGACAATAGTATTAGATCTATTCGAGATTTCGAGGTTCTCGACATATGACTCTTTCTGAAGCACGTGTAGTTTTTTTTTGTAGGGAAGAGGTGCCTGTAAGCATCAAACAAATGTAGTGACTGGCACAACCCTTCAATGATTTGCTCATCCATCTCAATGTATGCTGGGCATGGGGAAGGGATTTGCCAGCGATCCAGATGTCTGTTGGAGGCTGCATTAAAATTCCCTGCCATTACCACTTGGATCCCTACTGGGAGACGATTCTTTAAGGATTCAAAAAACCTTCTTCTTTTTGCTACCTCATTAGGACCATAGATACTCAGGATAGTTATCACTTCTAATTCCAGCATTGCTAGTATGAATACCCATCTCCCTTCTTCTTTGTCTGCATCCCACTATATGGGTTCAATTCTAGAGTTTGGCGGGATCCAAATAGCTACCCCTGCACTGCCTGGTCGTGGGGAGATTGTTTTTAAGGCTTGATGAGGCCATATCTGCTTGTGTGTATGCTGATGGTCTGCATTATTCATTAGGTGGGTCTCTTGTATACATATAGCGTCCGGCCAGTCTCTGCCTTCCACTCCTTTAAGTTGTTCATAGATGGCCTGTCTTTTTTGTGGCTTGGCCGAAGCTATGCCGTTCACATTAAGCGATCGAAGGTGTACATTTGTTGCTCTCTTTAGGTGTTTCCATTCCTTGTTTCTATTATAGAGCACTTCTACGGTGTCTAATCCTTCCAATTTTTTTTATTTTTCTTTGGTAACTATAGTGTTTTTAATAATTCCTTGAATATTTGCTAAACATGAGAAGGGTCACAGGGTCAGCCAATGCTCTGAGTCCAACTTACCTCCCTGTTTTAGTAATTCTTGCCTATTTTTCAATAGGCGTGAGAGTAAGATCTGGACATCAGTTTTAACCCAGAAATCCCCCGCCTTGATTTTCAATTGCTGAAGTTCCGCTAACATACTTGGAGTGAACCAGCGAAGGTCAACCGTCTTTGTATGCTCATAACGAAGTAAACATCCATGGCTGACACCTGGTGAGCGTTTGCTGAGGGAATGAATATCGTCATTCCCCTGGGTGGAAACTGCGCTTGAATAACTTTAGCTATTTCAGCTTTGAAGCGCGCTTCCCCTGATTTTCCTAATAAAGGCGAAAGAAAGTCTGCCGGTGTTCCCTGTAACGTTACTTCTCTATGTGCAGATCCGACTATTTCCGAAAGGCCAACCTCCCATTCTCCCTTACTTCGTCTGACTGGTAGGATCAAAATGCCTGCCTTGGATAATGTCAGGTCTGCATAGCCTTTCGAGAGTAAGATTTGCAGTTTCTGTCTTCTGTTGATTATCTTGTCTTCTGGAGGTGAAATCGGGGGAAGAGGGGGGTGTTTCAGCAGTCCACTGGGTTGGGTACTCATCATTTCGATGTTTTCTCCCTTTAATGTCTGAGTGTTATTCTCAGTCTCCACTCTTTTCCCAAACACATTTCTACTTTCCTGATCTGGCTCCCCTAGTTCTCGATGGCTTTCTCCTTCCTCTGATTGTTGTCCTACACATACAACCTCTTCTTGCTGTTTCTAAGTTAGGACTTCCTTTGACTGCGGACGCCACAAAAATTTGCTTTCCCCGTTACTTCGGAAATCACTTCCTTGATCTTGTAGATAACTGAGGGTTCTTCCACCCGCTTAGGTGGGGTGTCTTCCCATGATAGCAGCGGGTAGTTAAAACTTTTCTCTTCCCCTTGGAGCCCCTCTCCCACCCTATTTCTTCCTTCTTGATCCCCTTTTGTCCAAGGATCTTCCCCCSCCGCTCCTTTCTCCTCCCCCTCTCCCGTCTTTCCTTCGTTGTCTCTGATTCCAAGTTGACCAGTTTTTCTCCATTTTCGTTGCTCTTCGACAGGCCCGCTGTCCCCTTCCCTTGCATCCCTTGCTTCCCCTGCAACTCCTCTCGTTGGGGTATATCCTTCCTCCTTCTCTTCCCCTGTTGGTCTTTCCTTCTCCTCTCCCTCTTTCTCACCCATCCCTAGGCTTTTATCCGCCTCAGTGTCCTCTTGATCCCGTGCCTGTTCCCTTATGTGTTTTTCCTTCAATTGAGCTGTTTGTTTGTCCACAACTACACATGTGGTCTGCGTCGGCAGGTGTGAGACATGTAAAACAGTTTTTGGCCCTGCCTTTGGCTCTGTGTTCGGATAGCTCAATTCCACTGTTTCTGCTGTGACCGTGGTGCTGTTCATTTCTGTTGATTCGACTGTGGCCTTGATGCAACTATCTTTTGCCAATCTTGATGTGTGATTATTCGGGGAAAGAATTTAAAAAAAAAATCTTATTCCTTCGTTAACTGCCCCTAAACCTTTGATGACCACCGACTTCTCAGTTTCCTGACCCATGGTGATACTTGGGACTTTTTCAGAGCTTTCTTTTTCTGTGCGCTCTTCTTTTTCCTCTGTGTCAGGTGGTTTCGCTACTAGTGGTAAAAAATAAAAGAAAAGAGAAGCAACTGTACACAGTGGCGGACACCTGCAAAACACTAAGGAAAAACAGCAACGGAATCACGTTTACACAATTTTGCACGGCACCCGGTGGCAGGTCCCACCAAGCGCAAACCCCAAGGAGAAATCAGTAGCAGATGATTTTATTTTAGGAAAAAAAAAAAAAGGAAGGAGGAGGAAAAAACAGTGTTGGTGTCGATCCCGCTTCTGAATATATTGTCAGCAAATCCGGGTAACGCTGTTCTTTTATTGTTCTGTTCTTTTCATTTTGTTTATTTGTTTTTAATTCATTCATTTCATTTGAGAAATTCACTGAGGTTGTGGTCCCCAGCCTACCAGGAAACGGACACATAGCGGGACAATTGCTCAACTTCTGTTCAAAGGTACCATCACTGTTTTTTTTTCTTTTTTTTTTGAAACCATCATTGTTACCACTGCCTCCATTCCATTATTGTTGGTACTCTAATTACTAATATATTGGCCCGAAAAAAATACGGCACACAATCATCATTAATTTTATTGTTATTATTATTATTATTTATTTATTTTTTTCACAAAAACAACTTTCAATTAAATCCGGGAAACGGGCCAGTGTCCCTCGCATGAATGTTGCAGCCATACAAGGCTGAGAAAGGTACTTCAAGCCAATCCCATCCCCGATCACAGTTATCCAGCTGCCGAGACCCCGACCCCCCAAGTACTATAAGGCTGAAGTTGCGAAAAGGAAAGAAAGGAAGAAAACCAGCATGCCCAAGGCACAAAGGAAAACTACCAAAGGGACACTGGACCCGGTTTCCAGCAGGTGCCTCTCCCCACCAATAGATGGAGCAGCCAAAAAAAAAACAAAAAAAACTACCATCCTGTAAAGGCTAACCATGTCCTACCTGGGTTTCCACGCACTCAGCAACACAGTCAGTCACATATGTCACTACTCATACTCTGTGGAAAAAGGCCACAATCCTATGAAAGGTAACCATATCCTATCGAAGTGTCAAAAGAACCCCAGACACTTATCTACACCGGTCAATTACCCTTAATATATGGCATGATTATGCAGTCCACCTCACCCCATCTACTCGTACATATGTACGAAGGGTCACAAAAATATCTTCAAAATTTTGATTAGGCTGCTGTTGGGAAACGATATACCATGGGCTCCCTACGCACACATTCAGATAGCTCGCTTGGCTCCCCCCTCATGCCCCCACCGCCCACTGCACCCTTTCAGGTGGGTGACAAATCAGGCATGGACCATTCCAGCTTGCCCCAGGAGGGATACAGACACTACGCCGACTGGGGAGGCGAAATAAACGGGACATCAGGACTGCTCTTATGTGGCCTGATTTGTTAAAGCTTTGGAGAGATCATGTCCCTCTACAAAAGTCAACCCCCCTGAGATGGCACGAGATCTGGCGGCAGCCCCTTTATGGCCACCCACAAATTCAAGATTCTCAGGGTCATACCCTCTCCCTCTACCGCAATTCTAAGTCACTGTGGAGGAAGTGGGTAAAGAGGGATATCTACACGATAGGAGACATATGGGATGACACGAGCGCCACTCACCGGCTCATCGGTGTGCTTGTTGTGTTGTGCAGCTCGTCTCTCCCTCTCCCTGCAGGTAGGGAGCGCAGCACGACGAATCTCCTCCGCATTCGCTTGTCCACAAGTTCAGCATCCCTGTCTGCCATTGCCTTAGCATGTGTGGCCTCCTCCTCGTCGGGATCGTCGTGGGGGTGAAACAAAAACTCGACATTTGTATCCACCACATCGACAACCGGCATGAGCTCCACCTCAAGATCCCTCTCTCGTTGCCGTGTACGCCTGCCAACATATGCGGTAGTTGGGACAATTGGCGCCTCACGAACCTTGAAATCGGAGTCCCCTGCTTCCTCCTCGCCGCAGTCCTCTGATGAGGACTCGTTCCAACACTTGCCCTTCCACACAAGATCCTCGAGGTCACTGCTGCCGCCGGAGTCAGAATCAACAAGCTCCTTGGGAATTCTGCCTTTTGGAGCCTTCACCATTCTCCTTTGCCTCCTTTCCTCCTCCTCTTTCTATGCGGGATCCTCAGCAGGCCCCGACAACACGGATCCGTCATTGTTCACTGGCTCCATCAACGGCTCGAAGAAGGAACCCCACATATCAATATACCCCCTGTCCCTATAGCTTCGAGCACGCAGCAACTGCATGTTCCAATGAATGTAGACCAGCCTCTTAAGGGACTCCGGGGACAGACTATTCCGTCTCTTAGAGTGGATGAAGTTCATGAACGCCCAGTTGCGCTCCGCAGGGGTGGCAGTGCTCCACATGCCCATGACCTTCACTGCAATTTTTTGAAGGTCCAGTACATCCTCGTCGTGTGCTGCCCACCAGTCCGCCGGGGTTAACCTTGAAGCATCGTTCTTCGCAACTCTTTTTTACATGGTCTCGTCTTTGCGCTTCTTGGGGACTTTCCCTAGCTCCACGTTTGACGATACTTGCTTCCCAAGCTCCTTGTGAAACTCCATCAGATCCCCCCATATGTCTGAATGTGCCTTGTTGTTCCACTCGCCCCCGACCTGCCTAAAAAAATAAAAACAATGCATTCTGCACCAGCACATTGTCCTGATCGAAGAGCCAACGTGGATTTCTCAGTTGGGGGTCGAGAAGGAATGCAGCTGCGTGGACCGGCTGCCTCATCATCTGCATGCGATCCCGCACCTTCTCTATCACATCCTCCCGCTCCTTCTTTGTGAGCACAACACTTGTCAGCCTCCTAGCAACGTGCTCGTCGTACTCCACAAGATTTGTTGGAGAGTTGCCTTCGACGTCCATCCTCTTCAGCATCTGGTACACTGGGCGCATGATGGCGACAATCTTCTTCACTTGTGGCCACCAAGACTCGGACCTCGCAGTGTAGTACACAAGGTCAGCCTTTCTGCGTAACTTTTCCCCTGACCATCTCAGTGATCTCCACTTTGCAGCTGCCCTTCCATCGACCATCTCTGTCAGGACATTCTCTCTGTCTGCCGAGCGTTGCAACGTCATGTACACGGATCTAAAGCAGACCTCAGTGGGACGAAGCAGGGACAAGGTGTCATCAATGAACATCATCAGCCCGTGGGTGGCATGATGATTCCTGATGAACTTCACGATCGTGTTTGCGGTCTTCACAATGCCCTTGATCCACGACAGGCTTGTGAAGTCCTTCAACAGGAGACTGCAACAATGTGCCCCGCAAGGAACCCAAGGAATCCTTGCCACCTCCTTGTCTTTGCATCGTTCTAGGATCTGGTCCCGCCTTCTTATTCACCTTCACGTTCTCGGTGCGGATGGTTTTGATGCGGTTCAAGCCTATCTGCCTCATGACCTGCTCCCACAACCTCGCCAACGCTGGAACATTCTTCTTCCTCCCCGTCATCGTCATCGTCGCCACAAGGATTGCCCCCTGCTCCCCGGCCACCAAGAAGTTCATCACTCGCTGATTCTTTCGGTCATTTGACCCGTCAATAATGAACGTGCATCCGAATGTGTCCCAGCATGCAGTCAATGAAAGCGCCTCCTTCTGGATCTTGAGATAGATGACATCCAACATGATCGTCCTCATGTGGTTGTACGAAGGGAGCGTCACCTTTGGCCTCGCGCACGCCACCTCCAAGTACACAGCATGTAATGTCTGCATCGTGTCCATATTGAGGAAATTGAATGTGATGCCAACCCTGAACATGGTCTCCACCCATGCGATGTCCAGTTTTTTTCTGCACCTCGTTGTCCACCCACCGCCGTACAGTGGTCTGTCGGGTGGTGACCACTCGTGTTGTCGACCCTTGCCCTTCATCACTGCCTCCACCCGCCGCTGCACCCTCCTCTCCGCTCGCCTGGCCCAACACGGCAGCAGACAGGTTCGCACTGCGCGCAACAGACCGACCAGCAACAGACGATGGCTGGAGCTCGTCTATTTGGGGATCATTGAAGCCTTCTTGTCCAGTCAGCCCATGATCACGAAGTACTTCTGACTCAACACCGGGTCCTTTGTAGTTCTTCAGCAAGTACTTCCTATTCTTGTCATTCAGATGGATCTTCACGCCGACAGCGACCAAAGTGTGGACTATCTCCCCCGTCCGCATTGCACACGGCTTCATGGGCCTTAGGAAATATTCGACAACCTTGCTTGTCGATCCCCTGAGGATTACGAAGCACAACCTGCACCTGATCCAGTACTCCCCACACCCTTTCGAAGTAACAACCTCCTGCCCCTGATCGCACCAGTTCCAAACCGTGTTCTTCAACCGCAGTTTCGCATGTTCCGTCTCACCCTGCCCCTTAAACAAGCTCGACTCGGTTCCTGGTGCGGGCTCCTTCCCACTAGCACTTGCAGTGCACACCGTAAACTTCCTCCTCTGCGTACACGGTCGAGGCTTGTCACAAGAAGTCCCTACAGGTCCTTTCATCTTCTCTGCTGCTGTTGCTCTTCTCCGACCAACTCCTTCTGCATCGCCCCCCGTCATGGCCACCGGTGGGAGAGTAGAAGAGGGAGGACGACGAGGGACAAAGAAGAAGAAGAAGAGAAAAATAACTTAATTAAAAAAAATTAAAACGTTGTGTATGGCTATGGCTACCAATGCGGAAGAAGAAGAAGAAGAAGAAGACGATGAAGAAGAAGAAGATTAATTAAAAAAAGAAAAAAAATGCCTGCAATGCGCTATGGCTACCCTAGGGGAAGGAGGAGGAGGGGAGAGGTAGAAGAAGAAAATGAAGAACAAGGAGTAGGGGGGAAGGAGGTAGAAGAAGAAGAAGAAGAAGACGGAGAAGAAAAAGGCGAAGGTGAATGACATAAGTTAAAAAAAAAAAAGCCTTGCCTACGGCTACCAACAGCGGGGACAAAAAGAAAAAAAAACTAGATAAAGGAGGA